GTTAGCCATGCACTAACTTAGATCAGCCCAGAGGTTGTTTCAGGGTTCAATCTGTGAGTTACCCATGCCCTGACTTTCATCAACCCAGAGGTTGTTTCAGGGTTCAATCTGTGAGTTAGCCATGCACTAACTTAGATCAGCCCAGAGGTTGTTTCAGGGTTCAATCTGTGAGTTAGCCGTGTCCTGACTTTCATCAACCCAGAGGTTGTTTCAGGGTTCGATCTGTGAGTTAGCCATGCCCTGACTTWGATCAGCCCAGAGGTTGTTTCAGGGTTYKATCTGTAAGTTAGCCATGCCCTGACTTTGATCAGCCCAGAGGTTRTTTCAGAGTATTGATAACAATTGAATTTCTAACATTATTTGCGTAAATGTTCACAGGACATAGTATCGTTGTTAGAGGATCAACTACGTCCTCTGATCCAAGCCGAGTCGTCTCTGTTAGTTGATGTGCTCTACAGACCTGAGCTCATGTTTCCTGGACATTCTGAGGCCAGACAAAAGGCAGGAGGTGGTGGATTTGTGTCCAGGTAGAGTATACTTCTCCACTGTTTTCTCTTTACAGACCACGTGTCATTCCCTRGAGTATCATTTCTTTATCTTTTTCAGGCGGGATTAGTACTTATTATTATTATTATACTTATTATTTCTTTGTTGAACGGTTGTGCATGAGAAGACACATGAATATGGATACAACTCAAACAACGAATCTTATTCTCAAGAGAGTGACACGTGTTCTGAAATGGGCATAACATCACGCCCAAGTAGATTTGGTCCATAGATATTACCCACTTGAATGATACTGTACCGAGTGACCTAAAATAAAATAATAAAAATCTCTATTTAAGTGTCTAGTCGTTCTAGCGCTTTCACACTAATTGGGGACACTTTTCGCTCACACACACCACACCACTACATTTAATGTTCTATGCACACAACGCTCAACTAACATGTTGATTTTTAGGGGGGGGAGGAAGCCGGAGAACCTGGAGAAAACCTTCGTAGCATAGGAGAGAACAACACATCAAACAAACTCAATTCACATGCGGCGACATCAACATAACATTTGTTATGATTCCCTTGTCAGGCTGGTACGTCACACCAAGCAGTTACTACAAGATACCAATGGAGAATCCCTGTGTATTCTTGTACTTCAAACTCTCCGGGCCATGATTGCAAGGGACACTGATTTTGGCGAAAAGGTAAAAAGCGGAAAATAAGGCATGGTGGAATTCCTTAAAGGGGCTATATAACCATTCAAATTTATCAAGGGCGTAAAAAAAACGATAAAAATCGTGCTTTTCTTACAGTAAGATAACAAGGGCGGATCCAGGGGGAGGGTCGGGGGGTCGCGACCCCCCTGTCATTCCTGAGGTCAAATGGGCTTCCTGTGGTAAAAATGCGACTGGGATTCCTTTGCCCACAAAATTTACCCCCGAGACCCCCCCTTCAAAAAATTCTAGATCCGCCTTTGGATAATGTAAAATATTCCTTTTACACTATCCTGTTAGTTTCACACTCGGGATACTTTCGAAAGTGTTTTACGGGCGGAGATCCAAAAGTCGCTCATTAAAGTTATGACAATTCTTTTTCCAAGTATGATGATATTTACTTTACCTAATAGGGCGAGGCCTTGAGGGTGTCGTTACTCAAGCGTTACTATGGCGCTAATTACTCCATGTCACGTGACCAGAAGAAGAAAACCAAAGACACGCTGATTAAAAAGACCGTCGTCCAACCTTACGGTTCTGGCGTGACAGGACCTGGTGCTACTTACCTGTCACGCGCGGGTGTCACGCTATTCGAAATGCAGTGTCACCTTGGTGGATGTGGTCTTTCGGACCTGATTGTGGACCTGATTATAGCCTCGCCAAACCATAGGATATTCCAGGAAGTGATGGAGGTCGCCATCGTTCTGCTGGAGGGTGGCAACCCTGTCATACAGGTATTGTTAGCCATTCTATTCAAAGGACTATTGTTGGATCTGAAGAGGTATCGATGGAAGTCGAATCAGTATTGATCATACATATTAGAGGGGGTGTCATTTGCAGTCAAAGAAGTATTGATTGCATTTGAAGGATAGGAATTGTATCTTTTTATATACCTCTTGCAGGATATTCCCAATACAGCCCAATTCAGAGGACAAAACTATATAATCTTACTCTCATGAGAACTGAAAGTCATCATTTTGTTCTGCTCTGAGAATTGCTGAAACCAGRTCTATAGGTATATGTCCTCACCCGAGACCCATTTCACCCCACACACCACAACACCACGCCGCATGACATCACACCATATACCACAACATACCATGCTAAAACACAACATGCCCTATACTAGCTACACCACGACACATAACACCCTATACTGAATGCCATACTGGATCATCAAATTGAGAATTGGTCTCACCCAATACACATACCGTACTACAACACATAACACCCTATACTGAATGCCATACTGGATCATCAAATTGAGAATTGGTCTCACCCAATACACATAACATACTACAACAC